CACATACAGCAACTAGAAGGATGTGCAGCTATGACGTACAACTATCTACTGGGGCTTTGGGGGGAAAAGTAAATAAATAAAATAAAATTATTAAAAAAAAAAAAAAAAGGTCAGCCGGCCACATTCAATCTGTGGGCCGGCCTCGCGGCTTAGCGGTTAAGTGCACGCACTCCGCTACTGGCGGCCCCGGTTCGGACCCCGGCGCGCACCGATGCACCGCTTCCCCAGCCATGCTGAGGCCGCATCCCACATACAGCAACTAGAAGGATGTGCCACTATGACATACAACTATCTACTGGGGCTTTGGGGGGGAAAAAAAGGAGGAGGATTGGCAATAGATGTTAGCTCAGAGCCGGTCTTCCTCACACACAAAAAAAAAAAACCAAAGTTCCCCTTAGGATCCCCTGGCCTAGGAAATTCCCCCTAGGTTTCTCTTTCCTAGGAATGCTCCCCTGGGGTCCTCTGACCTAGGTTATGTACCAGTACCCCCTTAAGACACCTAGTCTTTAGGCTTGAAACAGCTCATAAAAACTCTGGACCATCGATGTAAAATAAGGAGGTCCAGGTTTCAGGAGAACTCACTGGGGTCACCTGAAGAATGCAGTGATCTGGGGGGGGCTCAGTGGGCCCCTATTGGTATCAAACACCAGTTCAGTGTAGATTCCAGGTGGTCGCCGGTGGGTTTCTCTGAAATCCTGCCACAACTATGCCAAAAAATGTTGATGCACATAATCCATAATCAATCGATAAATCAAAATTGGGATGAGTTTATTATGAGCCAGATCTGAGGACTAGCCCAGGGCCTTCCTTCCCCAAGGAAGGAAGGGCACCAAAGAAGTAGGGTGTACAGAGCGGTTATATACCATCTTGGAACAAAGAGCATACATCATACATGACAGGAATGTCTCTTTTACAATTGTCATGAGATGCTTCGTGGGCACAGCAGACCAGTGAACACTGCAGGTCGGTGATCACAAGGTGAGCATAGCAGGTGGGTAATTAACCTTTAGTTTAGGGAAAGATGCATATCCTTAAAGAGATGCCAATATCAGGGAAGTTAACATCCCTATCTTTAAGGGCATCATTCTTGTCTTGGGGACATAGTAAATATTTAAAGCAGATGTACAATCCATGCTCAACAGGCCACATCAGGCCCTTTTGAAAAAACAAGGTCAGGCTAAGTTAGTTTTAAAACAAATGGCTTCCTAATACACTTCAATGTATCCTATTGCTTTTCATTTATTTATCACTTCCATCATGATCTTTCAGGTCTCAACTTACATGTCACCTTCTTAAAGAGGATTTTCTAGACACCCCAATCTAAAGTAAGTTCCCCTGGACTACACTCTATCTCAGACCACTCATTTCCTTCATGGCACTTAAGACAACACGTAATTATCTGTTTCTCACCCATCTTTCACTTTAGAACACAAGCTCCAGGAGAGCAGGGACCGTGTCTATCAATCCACTGAATCCTAATGCTTGTCACAGAATCTGACAGGGAGTAGCACTTAAACACAAAATGAGTGATGAATCCCGAAATCATTAAGAAATTCCCATTCAGATAGTATTGGAAGTCCTAGCCAGAGCAATCAGGCAAGAAAAAGAAATAAAAGGGATCCAAATTGGAACTGAAGAAGTGAAACTATCACTATTTGCAGATGACATGATTTTATATATATAGAAAACCCTACAGAATCCACCAAAAAACTTTTAGAATGAATAAATGAACACAGTAAAGTTGCAGGATACAAAATCAACATACAAAAATCAGCTGTCTTTCTACACACTAACAACAAAGTAGCAGAAAGAGAAATTAAGGATACAATCCCACTTACAATTGCAAAAAAAAGAATAAAATACCTAGGAATAAACTTAACCAAAGAGGTGAAAGACATGTACGTGGAAAACTATAAAACAGTGCTGAAAGAAATTGAAGAAGACACAAAGAAATGGAAAGATATTCTGTGCTCTTGGATTGGGAGAATTAACATACTTAAAATGTCCAACTTCCTAAAGCAATCTACAGATTCGATGCAATCCCTATCAAAGTTCCAACAACATTTTTCACAGAAATAGAACAAAGAATCCTAAAATTTATATGGAACAACAAAAGACCCCCAATAGCCAAAGCAATCCTGAGAAAAAAGAACAAAGCTGGAGGTATCACACTCTCTGATTTCAAAATATACTACAAAGCTAGTAATCAAAACAGCATGGTGCTGGCACAAAAACAAACACACAGATCAATGGAACAGAATCAAGAGCCCAGAAATAAATCCACACATCTATGGACAGCTAATTTTCAACATGGGAGCCAAGAACATATAATGGAGAAAGGACAGTCTCTTCAATAAATGGTGTCGGGAAAACTGCACAGCCATATGAAAAAGAATGAAAGTAGACCATTATCTCTCACCCTATGCAAAAATTAACTCAACATGGATTAAAGACTTGAATGTAAGAACTGAAACCATAAAACTTCTATAAGAAAACATAGGCAGTACACTCTTCAACATCAGTCTTAGCAGCATATTTTCAAATAACGTGTCTGACCAGGCAAGGGAAAAAATAGAAAAAATAAACAAACGGGACTACATCAAACTAAAAAGCTTCTGCACAGCAAAGGAAACCATCAACAAAACGAAAAGACAACCTAACAACTGGGAGAAGATATTCGCAAACCACATACCTGATAAGGGATTAATATCCAAAATATATAAAGAACTCATACATCTCAACAACAAAAAAACTAACAACCCAATTTAAAAATGGGCAAAAGAACTGAACAGACATTTTTCCAAATAACATATACACATGGCCAACAGCCACATGAAAAGATGTTCAACATCACTAATTATTAGGGAAATGCAAATCAAAATTACAATGAGATATCACCTCACACCCATCATAATGGCTATAATTAACAAGACAAGAAATAACAAGTGTTGGAGAGGATGTGCAGAAAAGGGAACTCTCATACACTGCTGGTGGAAGTGCAAACTGGTGCAGCCACTATGGAAAACAGTACGGAGATTCCTCAAAAAAATAAGAATAGAACTACCATACAATCCAGCTATTCCACTTCTGGGTATTTATCCAAAGAACATGAAAACACGAATGCATAAAGATATATGCACCCCTCGGTTCACTGCAGCATTATTCACAATAGCCAAGACTTGGAAGCAACCTAGGTGCCCATCAAGAAACGAATGGGTAAAGAAGATGTGGTATATATATGCAATGGAATACTACTCAGCCAGAAAAAAAAGATGAAATCCTACCATTTGCAACAACGTGTGGAACTTGAGAGTATTGTGCTAAGCGAAATAAGTCAGAGGGAAAAAGCCAAATACCGTATGATCTCACTCACAAATAGAAGATAAAACAACAAACAAACACATAGAGACAGAGATTGGATTGGTGGTTACCAGAGGGGAAGCGGGGTGGGAGGAGGGCAAAAGGGGTGATTAGGCACATGTGTGTGGTGATGGATTGTAATTAGTCTTGGGTGATGAACATGATGTAATCTACACAGAAGTCCACATATAATGATATACACCTGAAATTTATATGATGCTATAAACCAATGTTACCTCAATTTTTAAAAAATGATTGTTATAAAAATAAAAAACAAAAGTACATACAGATGAATATCTTACAACATTGTATAATAATATACATTAACAAAATATTGCACTATTTTCCTATTTAAAAACGTGTATTTTTTGCACATGAATAAATTAGTGTAGTCTCCTGAAAAGAAAAGAAAAGAAAAGAAAAGAAAAGAAAAGAAAAGCAGGAAATTCTGTCATTTGAGACAAAAAGGTTGAATCCCTTGTCATTTTTGGAGGGCATTATGCTAAGTGAAATATGCCAGACAGAGAAAGGCAAATACTGCATGGTATCACTTATATGTGGAATCTAAAAAATAAAATAAAAAAATAAAACCCATTAAAAAAAAAAGAAGGAATTCCCATTCAGGCTTCACAACAGTTGTTAGCACCAGGAAAATATGTAGAATAGCTTGATAATATTTCAAATGAAGGCTTTCTTAGCAAAGACTCAAAACCCAAAAACCATAAAGAAAAGTTTATATATCTTACTTCATGAAAATTTAAAAGTTCCGTATGGTAACAGACACCATAAATACAGTTTTAAAAAAGTAAAAAATGGGAAAATATTACAAAGGAAAGTTACAAGCAATATTATCCACAATATATGAAGAATTCATATGAATCGATGAGAAAAAGACAAACAACTCCATAGAAAAATAAACGTAGATGATGTACAAATCACAGAGAACCAAACAAAGATAAACACAAACAGCCAATAAGTATGTTTTTAAAACTACAAATAACTTAAACACCCAATAATAGGAAAATAGTTAAATAAATTATACTAGATCCATATTATAGAATATCATGAAGCCATGATTAGGAATGAGATGTATTTTTATCAAGTAAAAACAGCAAGAACAATATAGATATGATCCCACCTATAAGAATACATACATACATATGCACATATGAGATATACAAGAGAAAGTCTGAAAGAACGCACACCAAAGTATTCTGTTTTAGGAAAAGCAGTAGGATTGGTCAGAGCAGGGAGGTGTGGGCTATGTGAAGTGGGACTTTTACTTTTTACTCTACGTACTATTCTAGTGTTGAAAATCTCTTACTGTAGGCATACCTTCACCTCTTGTGTAATTCTAAAAACTATTTTAAAAAACTACAGAAAATAAATGGAAGTCACCTGGGAAAATTCTTGGACTCTAGCATTAATAGTAGCCAGAATCAAACAGAAAAGGTCTAAAAATCTCCCAAAGTCATACAGAACAGATGCTTTTGGATAACGTGCAGCTCCACAGAGACCCCCATCCCACCTACCCCTAGCTCTCCCACCACACTTTGATGCCTCTCCATTTCCTTGGACCATTAGCTGTAATTTAACTTTAAAACAAAACGTATATAATCATCGTACCCTGGGCTGTAGCATTAGGGGAGCTTCTTCAGGTGCAAGTGGACCCCACTCTTGGGTTTGAGGATAACCTGAGGCAAGAAGACAAGAGGCCTGGTGGGGTCTGGAGTCACCTTGAAGCGGAGCAGAATCAGAGCGATGGCCACCTTTAACTCAGCCATGGCAAAGTGCTGCCCGATTGCAGTTCCTGCAGACACCCAGGGAAAGAAAGAGATACTTGAAGAAATGCTGTTTCTTCTGACTCTTTAATAAGATACTAGAATAACAAGTCTGATGTTCACAGGAAAGCAACATTTTCACAGTAAACACCACAGAAACTTCTGGACTTTGGACTCCTTGCTCCTGTAAAAATGTGAGCTGGCAGGCTTCAACTTTGAGTTGCTCATAGATTGTGCCTCCTGTGAGGATCTAACGTAAAACATGATGACTGTAGTTGATAACACTGTATTGTATAATTGAAATTTTCTAAGAAAGTAGAACTTAACATGTTCTCATACATGCACAGAAAGATAAATATGTGAGTTGAAGGGTGTGTTAATTAACTAGATGGGGAAGAATCCTTTCACAACATATATGTTCATCAAATCACCACAACGTACACTTTAAATATTTTACAATTTTATACATAAATTATAACTCAATAAAGCTTAAATTAAGAAAAGAAAAGAATTGTTTCTCCTGCATTGGGTGTGGACTGCATTGAGCCTATGAGCAACAGCTGGCATTTTGGGATGGCTTTCTGAGGCTTGGCTGTACAGGATGTGATAGAGAAGAGGATCGTCCTTTGTCAAACTAACTGGTCCTTTCAGGGGCTCAAATAGGCACCAAGATCTACCTCATGCTCAGGTGAGAAGATGGGGTTACATGGAAGAATTTATAGAACTGAGGGGCTAAAGGGAAAAAACTGTTCCCAAGTAAACATTTTTGTGTATTTTTAAAAATTTTGAATTGTCCTCACCTTGGTCCAGCTGAAAATGGTAAGAAGGAGGTGGGGTGTCTCTGATCAGAATTCTCCTGGGAAAACCTCAAGGGGTCAAAGACCCGAAATGAGAGGGCAACCCAACCACCATACCCAAAACACCATTAACACATTTCTTAAACTACTATTTAGCACCGATCAACAGAAATATCCTGTGAGCCACATATGTAACTTCAAATATTCTGGTAGCCACATTTTTAAAAGGTGAAATTAATTTTACTAATAGAATTTATTTAATAGAAGATATCATCATTCCAACATATACTCAATATAAACAATTATTAAGGAAACATTTCACACTTTTTGCACTACATCTTCAAAATCCAGCATGTGTTTCACATTTCCAGCACATCTCAGTTCTGACTAGGCACGTTTCAAGTGCTCAGTGGCCACGTGTGGCTAATGGCTACCACACTGGCTAATGGCTACCACTACTAGGTCTAGTAACTCTAGACCTGCAGATGTTGTGTGGCCTCCCAGTGGACTAGTCTGCTACCCAGACTAAGTAGGGGGAAAGCAGAAATACTATGGCCAGTGGTATTATTTCCACATTGGAGGTAAGAGTGCACCCATTTAGAAGTCAAGCCAAAATAACTATGTGATCAGTTGTTACTGAGACATGCGGTCCAACTTCCCATTACATGTAACAGATCTTAAAACTAGAAGCTTATGTAAAAGGATATGTCTGTACATGTTGTGAGTGTTTAGAGTTACAAGAACATTGAATCAAGGCACTCAGGTACGCTACACATCTTCTGTTAGCCTCTCCAGATCCTCTCTCCTCCCTTTCCCACCCTGCTCTGGGCACCAAGAAGCTGATCCACATGGTTTCCTGTTAGGTTTGGCCAATAAAAGGCATTGACAGGCGATCTGGAGGGTGGGAGGAGAGAGTGGTTGGCTTGTTTATCCCAGGGCCCCACCCTACCAGGCTGCCTCAGGTTGGCTGCAGGCTCTACTGAAGCCGCAACTCGTGTCTGATGGCCTTTCCCAGCAGCAGTCTCTCTCCTGTGTCCCATTGCCCAGCTTGAGTGTCATCAGTGTCCTGCCAGAATCCTGATTGTTACATTGAGGAGAGGGAGTTTTCCTTGCCCGAATTACTATTGGGAGTCTACACTCTCGCAGATACCTAGGTAGGTACTTGGGAGAGCTTGTTAAGTAAATGACTCCTGTACAGATTCTGACAATTTAGAGCAGGTTATGGGGCATTATGCCAATCTGTTCATTCAAAGCAAAGAGAAAGTAGGAATGGGGGAAGAGGAGAGTTTTCCTTTGGGGGAAAACTTACATTTTTGGTTTTTATGTTTATTTCTGTTTGCTTTGTTTCATTGGCCACTTCCATGCATAGCTACAAAAAGTGAATTGCACAGCATTAGTTCTTTAAAGTTCTTACATGTAAGACAGTCATACCTTTGGGTTTTCCCAGATGGCAGGGTTGTGGTGAAGACCCCAAATACTGAGAACAATATTTATTCCTGAAAAAAAAGGAAATAAAGAGATTACAGGAGAAAGAGCGAGTTGTGGGCTATAGTTGTATCACTCTTCAGTAAGACTTTTCTTCTTGAAGGGAAAGAGGTGGCTCCTGGCAGAGCTCTGTGTGCTGTAGCTGATGCCCGCAGTGAAGGACCCATGGGAAGATGAGGCGTGGTGGCACCTTAGTATTCAAAGCAATGATCTGTTTAATACATGATTCTATCTTAAGGAGCTACTGGTATCATGTCAAAATGGTAACCCATATTTACGTTTTCTGCTACCTCTGGAAATTACTTGTATATCTACTAATGGACTATAAAGCACCCACTGGGGACAGTTTGGTCCCCAGCATAAAACAGAACCGTAATTCCATCATGCAGACCCAATAACAAGTTTTTGCTGGTGCTGTTCAGATATGGAAGCTGAGGAATTTGGGCAAATATCCATGTAGTTCAGATATTTAAAAAAAAAAAAAAAAGAGGAGAGAGAATTTGAGGATTATTTGGTTACCAGAAATAATTCTGGTAAATTAACTCTGGATCTGTCAACAAAGTCACAGTTAGTGACAGGCTGTTGGTGTTTGCCACAGGCAATCCTGTGAGCTTGTTTCCAAGGGCAAGAGTCAATAGAATACTGAAGCAGAGGAGTGAAGGCTGTCTTGTGTGATCCCTGCCTCCCACTCACCCTGCTCAGAAACCTGTGTTGTTCTGAAGAGCACTGGACTCCAGGCTTGGTACCTCTGTGTGAGTTCTAGCTCTGCTCATCAGCACATTGGGGTCCCCCAGTGGGTTTTTGGCTGCACCAAAAGTATTTTAAAGTGCTTGTTAACTGGCAAGCACTGCATGGTGTCTGCTAAGATCATGTTCCAAGGGGAAAAACAATGAGATAATCTGTTTGAAGGCTCTCTGTAAACTACTATGTGCTGCACACTTATAAGGGTGATATGATGATGATGATGATGATGATGATGATGATGATGATGAAGACAAAGACTCCCCTTGAGTCTTCTAGATAAAGACAATGGTGCTCATCTCCCATGAAGTCTCACCTGGGTCTCAAACTCAACCAAACAAGAATTACCTTAGAAAAAACATCCCACAATGGAAGAAACCCTGGGCTGGGATTCTGGCAACGTGGGTCCTGGGCATAGCTTTGCTGCAAATGGCTATGTGCCTTTGGGGAAGTCTCTGAAACCCAAATCTGATCAAGGCGTTACCCACTGAGCTCTTAACAGCTGCCCAATCCTAAGCGAACTGTACTTAGGATTGTCTTTTAATTCCTCCAAGAGTTGAGAAACCTGCTGGTCTTCATCACTGTGGTCGCAGGATCCCATGGTTTCTAGGAACCTTTAGGAAAAGAATGCAAAAACCTGCAGGCAAGGAGCATCCATCTGGGAAGGTAATGGGCTTGCTGAGTTCTCTGGAAATGGATGGGACTGGAGGGGCCAATCGGAGTGACTCCTTGATGCACATTGTGGTGTATGACATCTCATCCAGCTGGTCCCTGTGAGGACGAGGGAGGGAGGGAAGGGAACTCAGACTCCATAGCCAGTTTCTAAATACTGATATTTTTTCTATTTGATGTTTGTTCCTGGTAAATATCATCCTCAGGTTAAAGCTATTTTGCAATTGGTTTTTGTAACAGAACATTAAAATGGGACTCTTTCTGCCTCTGGATCAGCTGAGGTCCCGGAGGAAGAGGAACCAAACGGGCGCCAAATCTCCTAATTATAAAGTGAGGAGAGTGCTAAACTAATGGTAAGGATTTACTAAGGAGATTTCTGAAAACCAGTTTTGCAACCTTTAGCTCACCTTATAAATCAACAATGTATGGGACACGGCACCCCGGGCAGGAGCAGATCCATCTTGGGCCTAGGAATTTATTTCAACAGTACCCTCACATGTTTATTAACGTGTTCCAAGCACATTTGTGGAAGACGTACAGGCTGGGTCAGAGTAGATGATCTGGAGCTGTACAAGCTCATGAAGCCAGGTGTGTAACTTCCATGCACTCACAATCATGTCAGGGAGACCAACATACAATTAACTGAAATTCTGAGATGCTCACTGATTCATTCTAAGAATTCCATCAGCACCTACCACATGCCAGGGAGATACAGGATGCACTTGAGACACAAATAATCAAGAGAAACATTGGGGGAATAAAAAGCCAAACTGGGAGTGATGTCAGCATCAAGGCAGAGTGAGCTCTTCCCTTAGACTATCCCTGCTAAGGTACAATGAAAAGGACACTCATAAACCAACAAAGGACAATCATACAAAACAACAGACGTCTGAGAGATCCACGCAGCCATATGTCTGAAGGCAGAGGTGCTGGACCCTCCAGGAGGCAGTGGAAGGAGGTAAGGGGATCTCCTCTCCCTCCCCCAATGACAGCAACCTGGGGCACAGGACTGCACAGGGCTCTTAGAGGAGAGTGGGGAGGAGGCAGTCTTCCACAGGAATGCCTTCACTCTCCAAGTTGCCTCCCAGCCCATGGGAAAGCTCCACACCGAGGAGGCTAAGCAATCACGGGGGCATATTCACCAAGCCGAGCAGCCCAGAAGGGCAGAGAGTGAGTGCAGAGAGGGACCGCCCCGGGGATCCTGCACGTGAAAGAAAGCACCCCCCCCCGGCACACCAGCTTGGCCAGTCAGTGAGAGCAAGGGACTCCTGTGAGAACACCTGTGTGCCCACATGTGTAAAGCAGCGGTAGCCAGTGGGCAAACACAGACAGGCTCTGTCAGCATAGCTTCCAAAAGACAGGCACAGCTGCCAGGGATCACAGTGAGCTCAGAATATACAGCTCCTGCCCAGCCCCCAGTGGCAGCAGGGGGAATCTATGACCAGATACCACTACTATGAGAAAGCACAAATCCACCTCATCAAATAGAATGAAGAGGTGCATTAATACTCCAGACCAGAAGGAAAATGAAAAGCACCCAGAAATCAATCCTGAAGGCACTGAAATTTACAGCCTAAATGATAGAGAATTCAAAATAGCTATCATAAACAAACTCAACGAGTTCCAAGAAAAGCAATTCTGAGGAATAAGAGCAAAGCTGGAGGCATCACATTCCCTGACTTCAAAATATACTACAAAGCTATAGCAATCAAAACAGCATAGTACTGGTACAAAAACAGACATACAGATCAATGGAACAGAACTGAAAGCCCAGAAACAAAACCCACACATCTGCAGACAGCTAATCGTCGACAAAGGAGCTAAGAACATACAATGGAGAAAGGAAAGTCTTCAATAAATGGTGTTGGGAAAACTGGGCAGCCACATGCAAAAGAATAAAAGTAGACCATTATCTTACACCATACACAAAAATTAACTCAAAATGGATTAAAGACTTGAAGATAAGATGTGAAACCATAAACCTCTTAGAAGAAGATATAGGCAGTACACTCTTTGACATTAGTATTAGAAGGATCTTTTCAAATACCATGTCTACTCCGGCAAGGGAAACAAAAGAAAAAATAAACAAATGTGACCTCATCAAACTAAAGAGCTTCTGCAAGACAAAGGAAACCATGAACAAAACGAAAAGACAACCCACCAATTGAGAGAAAATATTTGGAAATCATATATCCAATGAGGGGTTAATCTTCAAAATATATAAAGAATTCATACAACTCAACAACAGAACAACAAATAATCCAATCAAAAAATGGGCAGAGGATATGAACAGACATTTTTCCAAAGAAGATATACAGATGGACAACAGGCATATAAAAAGATGTTCAACGTCACTATTCATGAGGGAAATGCAAATCAAAACTACAAGGAGATATCACCTTACGCCTGTTAGAATGGCTATAATTACCAAGACAGGAAACAACAAATGTTGGAGAGGATGTGGAGAAAAGGGCACCCTCATACACTGCTGGTGGGAGTGCAAACTGGTGCAGCCACTATGGAAAACAGTATGGAGAGTTCTCAAAAAATTAAAAATAGAAATACCATATGACCCACCTATCCCACTACTGGGTATTCATCCAAAGAACTTGAAATCAACAATTCAAAGAGACTTATGCACCCCTAGGTTCATTGCAGCATTATTCACAATAGCCAAGACATGAAAGCAACCCAAGTGCCAATCAACTGATGAATGGATAAAGAAGATGTGGTATATACATACAATGGGATATCAGCCATAAAAAAGACAAAATTGTCCTATTTGCAACAACATGGATGGACCTTGAGGGTATAATGTTAAGTGAAATAAGCCAGACAGAGAAAGACAAACACTGCATGATTTCACTCATATGTGGAAGATAAACAAACACATGAACAAAGAGAACAGATTAGTGGTTGCCAGAGGGGATGGGGTTTGGGGGGTTGGCATAAGGGGTAAAGGGGCACATATATGTGGTGACTAACAAATTATAACATACAACTGAAATTTCACAATGTTATAAACTATTATGACCTCAATAAACTAAAAAATACATTAAAAAAATAAAAAGAATGCATAAGGATTGAAGAAAGGAGGCTTAAGAGTCTTGAGAGAAAAAAATCCTTTAAAAAGAATTTTTGGAATGCCAAGTGCCGTGGAGAATGGCAGGCGGTGTTCCTCCCCATGTTAAGCAAAGGAGGGCTTCAGCATAGGACTGATAGGAAAGGCTGCAACTCGGAGCAGACAGAAGGTAAGGAGAGCAGCAGGGCAAGGCAGGAATTCCCTAGTATGTCCTGAGGGCCAATGACCCCACAGAAGGGAGAGCTACAGAACCAGTTTGAAAGGAACTCTGACCTAGGACAAGAATTCCTTTGCCCCACAAATCACCATTGCAAAGTCCCGCTGAGGGAATCTCCAAGAAACCCACAGATGCTCCATCAAAAGTAAAAGGAAGCATTGACTATTCACCAAGCTCAGAGGGCGAGATCACAACAGTACCAGCTCCTTTCTCCTTATCCTCTCTCCCTCCTGGTGCCATTTCTAGAAGGGTCAGAAACAGCAGCTACGGGCAGGGGAGGAGCTGGTCAGTAAGAAGAGGCCAACAACAACCCCTCACCCACCACTGGCTTCCAGACTCAGAGAAGTACTGAGCTGGGTCGGGGGAGACGTTCCCAGTAGGTGGGAAATTGAAGTTTTTATTATGACACCAGACCAGACAGCTTAATTACTGAAATGAGACTACCCTTGAGATTTAAACAGATGGGAACTCTATGAGATTCACCCAAGATTACACCCAGGAGATGAGAAGAACTTACCCCACACTGCAGGTGTGAAGTGCCAGCAGGAGAAGAATAAAGTTTCTAATTTGCATCCTAGGTGGTCAGGTTGGTTCAATGAAATGACTAACTGTATTCAGTCTGTTTGCGTTATTGTATTTCTATTTTCTTTTCTGATTACTTATTTTGAATGCAGACTTTGGCCACTAGTTAATGTGAAATTTTAATTTTGGATTCTTTCCTCCTCAAACCCAGAATAAAAATAATAATTCTGCTTAGCCTGTCACTTTACACATTTAAGTAAAACAAGGTTGTCCATCTCAACCCTGGCGCAAAAAGAAGAGAGGAATTTTAACCCAAAGCAGAAATGTGCTGACATGGAGCCAAATGGAGACGTTGAACAATTTTCCAGGTTTTCCAGAAATTGCTCTTTGCAGTTTTTATTATCTGTCTAAAACAATTATAAATTCTCAGAATCCTATGTGAAAATTTCATTAAATGTAACTATAAGGCCATATTACAGAATAAAAACGTATTTTATTCTCTGTAATATTGTTGCCATTTCTCTCATTACAATAAATGGTAGTTAATGGATGCTCTGGATTTTTTTTTCTCATCTGGCAAAGATTTCTTTATTGTTTTCACATTTCACATAAGCCAAACAAGAATAAGAGGGGTCAATATTTGAGTTGTATACACATCCATCCTAATCAAGGTTAAAATATCTAATTAATGTTGGGAGGTGGTATAGAGTGTTTCCAAATTCAATGAATGAATGAAAAATGTCTAATAAACACTGCTTTTTGTGCTATAAGATTAGATCTTTAATTTATGGTAGGAAATGATAATTATTTCCTTCTCAAAAGTGAGATCTCTACTATACCTATAAATTCAAACTATCCTTTATAAATGTTCTAACTGAGCTGACTTTTGCATTTGAAATATGGTGTTTTCCCACTAGTCATGGGGCTAGGTTGCCCTTAGCATTTCTATCTTTCTGCCCCTCTGACTGGCAAAACAATGATATGTGAAATATCTCACTGGGGTAAAGAGTGTAGTTTATATCAGGGACACATGATTTCTCTGCAAATAGCATGTCTGAGAGGCAAATCCATAACCTGGGCTTCATTAACAGCAAGATAGGCTCAAAGTCTAGCAAAATGGAGTTGAAGTTTTCACCTGGCTACTCATACTCATCCTGTAAGAGGCAGCTTAATGTCAGCTCTCTCAGGAAGTCTCCTTGAGTCCCCGTGTCAGGTTAGATGCCTGTCTTCTAAGTCTCTGTGGAGCCAGCACATATCTCTCTGATCACACTCACCATCTTATACTGCAATTATCTGTATGGGGCCTGGCTCCTGTACTAGAGTGTGAGCTCACTGAGGGCAGGACCCACACCAGATCTTGAACATTTTTCTAGGGCCACAGTACTTAAAATGTCCTCAGTCCATATTTGCTAAACTCACCTACAGTGTGTATCATTGAGTACTATATTTAAAGTCCAAAGCCAGTCCTGAGGAGTAAAGGAGGGGACGGGAGAGAATATCCACAATGAGGCTTAAATGATGCAGCTGCTCACTCAGGTCCCTCAGAAGAGGAGCCCGCTTGAGCCCAACCAGTCAAGCTCTAAATGCAAGTCTAGGGATCAAGTCCCCATTTCCAATGCACCAGAACATGGGTGAAAGAAATAGGACATTTTACAGACCACTGATTAGAAAAGCAATGAAATACATAACTTACAGATGAGCGAAGTTCTTCTGCAAAAGACAAAGGGATAATTTGGGGCCCTCTAGAAAAAGAGCAGAATGGTAGCCTGCCTCTTCTGCTTCCACATACACGTATCTTGAAGCACTATGGTCACCAAGGTACAAGAGGAAAGAATAAAGCAGAATCCCAGGAGGAGAACTAGGATGAAATGTTGAGGGATGCAGATCCTACTTACCAGGTGATGGAAGACCCGTCTCCCAGGATACCCCTGATCCCCTCCCGGCATCTCTCCTGATGCTCAGGGCTCAGAGCCAGGTGGTAGAGGAGCCAGGAAATGCCCCCTGCCATGGTGTCCAAAGGTCAGTATCTGAGAAGCTGTCGCCATTTTCAGCCTAGAAAGGACAGGAGAGATATTTTTATGCAATGTCAGTTTATAGATGTTTGGAGCCCCAATCAAAATAATGGTTTTAGGGAAAAAATTAGGGTTTCAAATGAGAGTTTCAATTTTAATTCAGTTCAAGAAATATATACTAGGAGCCATACTCGGCCCAGAGAGTAACTGAGAACAAAGTTAGATAAGGAAGCAGGCCTTGCAAAGAGTTCCTCCACTCATCCTGCTCGATTTATCCAGATTTTTCTGACCCTCCTCCTCAGGATTTTACCAGCTTATCCTGTGACTCATTCTCCTGTGCTTCCCTAAAGTACCATGTGTCACTATGATAATCCTGTCAAATCAGTAGAAAGTTTGGTCTTATCTGACTCCCTCTAGTAACAAAGTTGCAGAATTCTATCTTTACTTCAAACTGTATGGAGCAAACCCACCAATTCAAAAGTACTGTTAAAATTAGGAGATCAATTTTGCTTGTGTCTCCCCTCCTCCCCACTCATCCACCTACTCACACAACTAACTAGATATATGAGCAGGCTCCGAAATTTGAAAGATTTACCTGGGCAGAAAGGACAACATCCAGAAAATCGTGGAACTTCCTCTTCTGAGTGTTATCCTGCCTATTCTCATCCTTCAGGGATTTCTTTCTATCCTGGATTGCCTTTTCTGGGGTAGAATAATAATTCCCCATTACCAAAGTGACAGCAAAGTCAGTTACAAGTAAAATAAATTACAGAGCAAGCTGTGGCCCATGAATAGCTTCAAATCTTGCCTAATTTCCCAAAGGTTTATTATATTTATTTTTTTTTTCTATTTCTGCATAGATTACATCATGTTCACCACCAAAATACTAATTACAACCCATCACCACACACATGTACCCAATTATCCCTTTC